AATCCAAAGTACGCAAAGCTGCTGAAATCGTGGACGAAGGGGGCCAAGGTCCATCCAAAGCTGGCAGCCGGACTTGGCGCTGAGGGCTCATTGGTTCTTCCTCCAGGGCTTCAGAGAGCCGCCAAAGCCAGGCAGCATGTGTCAGGGGAGTCCCTGCGTAAGAAAGGCCCCGAGAGGCCATCAGAGAGGTCACTGTGTGAAGCTGTGAAGGTGAACCCCGGTTGGCAGTGGGGACCCCAAGATGGTGGAGATGCCAGAGCCGTGAGACACCTGCCAAGAAGAGCTGTATGCAGGGAGTGCTGCCGGCCCAAGGGAGAGATGTGTTTGCAGCCCAAGGCAGCGAATCTGGAGAGGCAGAGCCATCTAAGCCCTTTGGAAGGAGAGTCCCAGACACTGGACACGGAGCTCCCAGATTTGCTGTTTGCCGGTGGTTTTCGACCTTGCTTTGGCTCTGTATTTCCTCAGTGTGCCTCGATATTCCCACTCCTCCTCTTTAGAATGGGTATGTGTATTCTGTGGCATTGTGTGTTGGAAGTATAGAATTTGACTTTACAGGGGCTAACAGTTCAGAGACTGCCTTGAGTCTCAGAAGAGACTTTGGACTCTGAAATTTGAATAATATTGAGATGTTAAAAACTGTAGGGACTTTTGAAATTGACCTAAAAGCATTTTGTAGTATGATATACAAAATCATGAGCCTGTGGGGACCAGTGAGTGGAATGTGGTGGTTTGAATGGATTGTCTCCCATGGGCTCAAGTACTTGAACACTGGGTCAGTTGGTGGCACTGTTTCGGGAAGATCTTGAGCCTTGAACAGGTGTGGCGGTGCTGGAGATGTCAGTTGGGGTGGGCTTTGAGAGTTGGTAGCCACACCTATTTCTTGTTTTGTTCTTTCTGATTCCTGTGCCTGCTTGAAGATGTGAGTGTTGTTTTCTGTTCTGGCTGCGTCCTGTCACCTCCTGTCACCTCTTGCCGTGTCTGCCCCACTGTGATGGGCTCTCTCCCCTCTGGAGCCATAAGCCCAATAGACACTTCCTTCTATAAGTTACCTTGGTCATGGTATTTTATCACAGCAACAGAAAATGTAACCACCATAACAGTATTACTTCTTTAAGAATACTATTTAGAGGACCAGTTATAAAACCTGTCGGTGAAGCTAATCCAAGTCTGTATTTTACTTTGAAAGCTAATTTTTCTTATTTTTAATTTTTTGGGGTATTTAATTTTTCTCTGTATGAGTGTTTTGCCTGTATGTATGTCAGTAATCCTGTGCATGAAGTGACCAACACGGCCAGAGGAGGCCTCCCAGAACTGGAATTACAGACAGTATTTAGCCACCATGTGGCTGCTGGGAACTGAACCTGGATCCTTTGCAAGAGCAGCCAGTGCTCTTAACGGCTGAGCCATCTTTCCAGCCCAGATTTCTCAGTATCATTGCTTGGTTTTTGATGTGTTTAATTCAGCCTGATTTAGGTGACATTTTTGAGGAGGAAATCATTTTACTCTAGGTGACCTGGTATGTTGGCGTATGACAGTTCATAATAGTCTTATGATTTTAAAATGAATTTCAAGACATTGTCCTCATCATTCCTGTTTTGTCGTTGTTTGAGACAGGATCCCACTATGTAGCCCTGGACGTCCTGGAAGTCAGTATCTAGACCAGCCTGTCCTCAAACTCAGAGATCTTTCTGCCTCTCCCTCCAGAGTACTGGGCTTAAAGGCGTGCACCACCACACCCAGCCCATTTCTGATTTTATTTACTTGACTCTTTCTTAGTTGATCTAGCTACATATTTGTTTTTCCTGCAGAAGCAGCTCTTGTTTTTATTGATTTATTTTCTATTTTTTCTCTGTCTACGTCTGCTCTGATCTTGATGTCTTCCTTCGTTCCACGAACTTCTATGACACGATTATTTTTCTAGCCCACAGAGGTTTAACATTAGGCTGCCTATTTGGACTCCTTCTCTCCTGAGGTCGTTCCACATCTCCCCTTTGACTGCTCTTGCTTTCCGCGTTGGGCCTCTGTTGGCATTTGTCTCACATTTTCTGATGGTCGTCCTGCTTTTGGCATTTCACCAATAACCTGTGCAGGAACATGTTCATTTCCAGGGACTTCCCAGGATGCCGCCTGTTGCTTATTTATCATTTTATGAAGTTTCAGTTAGAAAGGACACAGGTCAGGATACCAGTCTTATCAAGGCAAGTGTGTTAAGCCTGTTTCTGGCCTCACATAAGATCTGTCCTGGAGATGTTCTGTGTATGCTCTGTGGCTCTGGGTGAAGATTCTGTATGTGACAGGAACACTTTGTGTAAGTGCACTTTAACTCTAGTATTTTCTTGCTAATTTTCTGCTGGATTGATCTGTCCACCTGAGGAGAATGGTATTAAAGTCCCACAGAATTTCTATATTGCTGTTGTCACCCACTGAAACAGAATCAGGAAGATACAGAATGTCTGACAGATCTATAGCAAATACAGAGATTGAAAAAAGCCCAGGACTACACGGCATGGTAACAGAACTACCAAACATTGGAAAAGAAGAAGTATTGATATTTTCAAACTCTTACACAAAAATGTAAAGAGAGATGAAAAACTTACAAGTACTTTGAGCCAAACCCAAAGTCATCGGTGTTAATAAGAATACCAGCCATTATTGATGATGAAAACCTGTGCATGTGTCTCTGGTGGTTTGAATGGGAAATGTCGCCCATAGTCTCAGGTCTGAACACTTGGGTCCCAGTTAGTGGTGCCATTGGGGAGGTTCAGGAGCTATAGTTTTGCTAGAGGCAGTGCGTTACTGGGGGTGAGCTTTGGGAATTTATAGCCTCACCCCACTTCAAGTTTTTACGCTTTGCTTTGTGTTTGTGGTTAAAGGTGTGATCTCTCAGCTGTCTGCTCCAGCCACCTGCTGCCACGCCTCACTCACCAGTAAGGACTCGCCCCCTGGAACCATAAGCCAGAATAAACTTTTCCCTAAGTCACTTTTGGTCATGGTGTTTTATTACAGCACTAGAAAAGCAATTGATACAAAGTCTTCAATACGGAAACTTAATTCAACAATATATCAAAGGCGTACTGATTACAATCATATGTGATTTATATCTGGCATGTAAGGTTGGTTTCTCATTAAAAGCTGTGTGGCATGTCACACTGATGGAAGGAAAGAGGAAAGCCCCTCCCTAGAGCCAGGATCAGCATGCTTTCTTTTTTTTAAAGAAAGATATTTTTTTTTTGTATTTTGAATTATGTGTATGTGTGTGTAGGTGGGTATATGCACATGAGTGCAGTGCCCACAGAGGCCAGAAGAGGGTATGAAATCCCTGGAGCTGTAGTTATAGGTGGTTTGGAGCTGCCTGATGAGGGTGCAGGGAGCTGGGAACTGAACTCAGGTCCTCTGCCAGGGCAGGAAAGCTCTTAACCACTGAGCCCTCTCTCCAGTCCTCAGCATCCTTTCTTGATGAAAAACTCTTCAGCAGTTTAGGTCTACAAGAACAGTTTCTCAACAAAGCCCAGTATGGGAGAACCCACAGCTGTCATGATCGTAAGAGCAGCTGAAGACGTTCCACCAATGACATGGAGTTGAATACACGTCCTTGCAGTTCTCTTCAACATGGTGCTGGACATAGACAGCAAAATAATTTAACAAAAAGAAGTGAACCAGGTGTTCAAATACTACTATTTTAAAAGGAGTATTTTAGTTTTAGTTATTGCTGTGTGTATATGTCCGTGGGAGTATGCATATATGAGTGTGGATGCCCGTGGAGGCCAAAAGATGGTGACAGACTCAGCTGCCCTACGTGGGTTCTGGAAACTAACCTTGGGTCCTCTGCAAGGCCAGCATTCACTCTTAGCCACTAGACCGTCTCCTCAGCCTCCAGGTGTCCAAATTTTAAACTGTAAGTAAGTAAGAGTATCTGTTTGCAGATAATATGGTCTGTTCTAGTTTGGTTTCTGTTGCTGAGATAAACTCCATGATCATAAAGGAACTCGAGGAGGAAAGGGTTTGTTTCCCCTCCAACTCCCAGGTCATGATTTCCTGCTGAGTGAACTCAAGGCAGGAATCTGGAGGCAGGACCTGAAGCAGAGACCGTGGAGAAGCACTGCTTACTGGCTTGCTTTCTTGGCCTAGGCTCAGCCTACTTTCTTACACAACCCAGGACCTCTGGCGCAGGGTGATAGCACCCACAGTGGGCTGGGTCCTTCCACATCACTCAGTAATCAAGAAAATGCCTCATGGACATGGCCACAAAGACAGTCTGTTCAAGACAATTCCCCCAGTTGAGTTTCCTTCCAGCAGTGTATAGTGGACAGCACATGCCCCAAGTAACTTTTGGTCACAGTGTTTATCACAGCAACAGAAAGCAAACTAGGGCAACATACACGAATTTTTCTTGAATTTTCTGTTTTTAAGAATCCCAAAATAATGTCTTGTAAGGTACTCGTTTTGGTAATTTTAAGCCAATGTCGAGCAGATAAAATGATAAGTCAATTCTGTGCTCTCCCTGTCGGTCTTGTTCAGAATCATGACAGTTACCGTGCCCTTGGCTGTTGTATTGGCATGTAGATGTTTTCAACCATTTCATGTGTTTCAGATTGTTTTATTATTTAGTAACACCACCCCCCATCTCTCTCTCTGTGTATGCCTTTCCTTTTCCTCTCTCCCTCTCCCTATCTCCTTGCACTCACACACTGAACACATTCACAGGGAGAGACACATACATGCATGGATACACACACACACACAGGCACACGCACACACACAGGCACACACACACAGAGGCACACACACACGCACACACACACACACACACACACACACATATAAATGAGAGTTTTCATATACTTTCAGCTGTTCAGTGGTTTCCCAAAATTCATGGTTTAGCATTTCTGCACAGAGAACCTCAATATTCTTGCTAAGGAAACTTAAATGCTCTGATTATCTTAATTGCACCATTGTTAACAGCCCTGTATCCCCTCTCCACCCCCCTTTGCTATTAACAGAGCCTCAGCAGCCAGGAAAACAACTTGCTCCTAAGTGTGGAGTCACAACCTTTGGTAAGCAGCATCTGCACTTTCCTCTCTTGGGTGGACGGATGGGAGCATCTTCTGGTTTTCTGCACGGAGATACTGTCAGTCAAATCTCAGACCCTCAAGTGTGATGTCTGAGAATGTATCACTTTAGAAAAAAACATTTGTTTAAGAAAAGTGTTACCTCAGAAAAGCTAATGAGGATGATAATATAGATGCAATGTTTTCACATTAACATTCCAGGTGTTACGCAGAATGACTTCATCAAAATTGTACTGTTGTTTATGGGGTGGAATTGAACGAGAACTTGACTGAGACCCAGGTCAGGGTTCTTCCTTCATTAGAGTGTGCTTAACTGTGAATTCATGCCTATGAATAATCATGATGTGAAAAATGAGACTAGGAGCCAATACAGACGTTATTAAACTTGGATTTTTTTTTTTCTGTCGTTTGCTGAGAAAATCAAAGTGAGGTTTGGGAACATGGGGAAATGGACTTCAGGCATCGTTAGTGTTGTCTGACATCATTTCTGAGGGTCCACAGTTGGGCTCCGTGGCTGCAACTCCTGGCTCCTGGCTCCACAGCTTCGTGTACCTTTCTTGTGTCTGCTGACCTCTGGAGTTGGGAGGAACCCTGGTCATGCACTTCGGATGGGGCATTTCTAATGTTTCTCTCCTGATTCAAATTAGATAATGTGCTTAGAGGAAGATGGTGAAAGCAAAGGTATCAGCCTCAGTCATGTCATGGGTACAACCCACCCCCGGGGCTCACTACTAGAAAGATGCTTCAGTATTGAGTATCCGCCTTAAAGTAGGTTTTGTCAGGTTTTTCGACTACAAAGTTCCTGTTGGATTCTTTTCTTCCTCCCATAATGTATTCTTGTGAAGAGTCACTATGCAGTGTGCACGGGCTGTGCTGAACCTCGTTATGATTAGATAAATAATAATAATAAATATTATTTTGTTACTGTGCTGGTGATTGGACCCAAGGCTTTTCGCATGTAGATAAATGCTCTGCCACTAAGCTACATCCCCATCCCCTAGAGCTCTTCTGTATGGGAGATTCCCCTCCCTCCCCCCTCCCTCCCCCCCTCCTTCCCACCTCCAATCCTTCCCCCCTCCCCATTTCCTTTCTTCTTCTGCACAAACCCATGGATATTTCTATTTTGTGCTATAAACTCAGTTATACTTTGTTTCATCGCTCTGAATGGCTTTCCAGCTACTCCAGCCTTGTCATCAGAGAGCTCTTAGGTTGTTTACATAGAACTTGAACACACACCACTTTTGTTCTTTTTATGTCTTTTCTTTTCTTCCTCTCTAATATTACAAGATGCTCAAGTCACTGTATGTTTCCTGTCTCAATCCTAGAAACCATTCCTCTAGAAAAATTTTATTTTCATTAGAGCAGATTATCACAAAATTATCGACCAGAAGCCTGTTACCAGAGTCCTTTTAGACATATTCAAAGTAGGATAATTTGAGGACTCGGTACAGACGTTTCATAAGTGCTCAAGTACCCCAACATGCACAGACAGGCCTGCCAGTCATGAGTCTACTGTAATGCACAGAATAAAGGGTGGAGGGGGGAGCAGCTTCTGGAGATGAGAAGGGGATGCCTAGGAAATTAGACAGGAAGCTCAGGGACAGTTCAGCAGAAGCATGCAGCCCTCTTTTTAAAAAGGATTTATTTTACTTTTCAAAAACATATCTACAAGTGTTTTACCTGCATGTGTGTATATGTGCTATGTGAGAGCAGGTGCCTACAGAGGCCAGAAGAGAGCACCACATACCCTATAACTGAAGTTAGAGACAGTTGTTAGCCGCCAACCAGGTGCTGCAAACTGAATCTGGGTCCTCTGTAAGGGCAGCCGGTACTCTGGACCGGAGCCAGCTCTTCTTATAAAAAGTTCATCCCTTTATTTATTTGGTTTTATTTTATGTATGTAAGTGGTTTGCCTCCTTGTATGTAAAAGTACGCATGTTGTGCAATGCCAGCAGAGGCCAGAAAATGGTGTCTGATCCCCTGGAAGAAGAGTTATAGACATCTGTGTGCCAGCATGTGGGTGCTGGGAGCTGAACCCAGGTCTTCCACCAGTGCTCCCAACCACTGAACTGTCCCTCCAACCCCTCTCCAGCTTTCTGGAACCCAACCTTGGGAAGGAAGACGATCAGTGTCTCAACCTCTGTGGCTCTGCACATCAGAAGTCAGAGACCCAGGGAGTTCTTTGATATCTATTACACTCATCATCACAGGACAGAAATCAGGCTGGGAGGACTGGAGAGGAGACAAACCCAAAGCATGCAGTGGAGTGTCACTGGGCACATTTTCCTTTATCTCTGTTATGATAGAACTTCACTAATGATTTCATAAATGTACCAGGATTCACATAGCTTAATTGGAAGAAGTCAACAGTAGATTTGAGTATGTAAATGTTGCATAAATCCCACTTTGCCAGGGCCACTAAAACCAACATGTAAAGACATGTGGGAAGCGGGCGCAGTCGAGCCGGCCAAGATGGTGCCCCTGGCTGGCTGCCAAGCCTCGTGACCCTCACTTGTTTGCTCCAACTGTTAGCCCCGTGCTCATGTCTTGATTGGCTCCGTGTGACGGTCTGATTGTGGGATGGATCTGATGAGGGTATATATTGTGGGATGACGAAGAATAAAAGAGAGAGTGAGAGAATTGCTTGAACCTCACCTTGGCGTTCGTGTTGTCCTTTCCTCGGCTCTGCTGGTCGGAGTCTTGGTTCGCGGCAAAGACACACAAAGACGAAGACAGCTGTAGCGAAGAGAACCAATCTAGGATGTGTCAGTGTATTAGAAAGCTTTTGTAAACACTCAGCATTCAATAGGGAGCCATGGAAACTGGAGAGGTGTGTGGGAGTTGTGGTTTAATCATGACTGATGTACACCTAGAGGCTTTGAAGGGATGTAGGTCCTGCTGACCTCAGGGGCTGAATGAAGAATGTCCCCCATAGGCTTCAAGTGTTTGATCACATTTTTCTTAGTTGGTGGCTTTGTTTTGGGAGGTTTAGGAGGTGTGGTCTGGCGGAGGAAGCAAGTCCGTGGGAGTGGGCTTTAACCTTGCCCACTTCAGGTGCTCTGTCCACTTCCTGTGCCTACTTGACTATGTGAGCTCTCCGCGTTCTGTCCTGGCTGTCCTCTCCTGCCACGTCTCCCACCGTGAAGGACTCTTCTCCCTCTGGATCCATAAGCCCAATAAACTCTTCCTTCTATAAGCTGCCTTGGTCATTGTTAGGGTCTGAGACTCGGGATCAATTCCCACAGACATGAAGGAAAAATGCATTAAAATTTTACTCAGAAATTTAGAGTATAAAGTGACCAAATTAGCAGCTAGCTGGGCACGGGCTCCACAAGCCAAAGATGATGGCGTCCGGCCCTGAACAATAGCAGGCTGGGGCTTTTATTGGGAATTCCACAGAAACCCAAGCGTGCCAAGCATCCTTTAAAATGATTGGATGGCCCCCTATCCTGAGTATGGGGGAAATTCTTATTGGTAGGGGCTGTCTTTAGGGCATTGGAATGTGCTGGCTGTAATCTTTAGAGCCAGAGAATCCTGTTTATTCCTTGTAAGGTCTTAACACATTTGAGCTTGCCTAACATGCCTGGGCTTGCCTAACCCAGAGCCCTTGCAAATGTTCCAGTCAGCTCACAAAATGGGGACGCTAATTAAAACCGGAGTCAATGCAGTTTGAGGTCTGACTCTTCAGTCATGGTGTTTTGTCATAGCAACAGAGATCTTAATACCTAAGTTGGTACCACAGAGTGGCCTGTGGCTGTGGAGAATCTGACTGTGATTTTTGGAGGAATATGGAAGATTTTAGAAGTTTGGACTAGAAATGTGGTTGAATGCTATATCCAGAGCTTAATGGGTGATTCTAGTAGAGGCCTGGCTCAAGATGTTTCAGAGGGAGATGAAACAAGGACCTTAACAGCAACTGGAATATTTTCACTACAAATGTAGCTGTCGTCTGCCTATGGCCTAAGAACTTACTTGAAGCTAAATTAAAATGTAATGAACTAATCTCTTTGGCAGAGGAAATTTCAAGATAGCCTAATATAGAATCTGTAGTGTGGCTATTAGTAGTAAATATTATGCAGATCTACAGTGATAAAGAGTAAGTAGGACAGAAAGAAATGCAAAATGTACAGTCCGGAGAGTCAAAGAGCAATAGGAAGCTTAATCCCGTGGCAGTGAAGGCAGGTCTTGGAAAAGCCACTCCCATTGCGATGGAGATCGGAAGCATCAAGGCCTCTGGATTTGCACTTGAGCAATGGAAGTTACCTTCAGGGCAAGACCCCACCCAACTAAGCTTCCAGCTTGTGAAGGGGAAAGCCTAAGGAGTTTTCTGCCCCTAGACAACCACAACGTACCAGAAGCTGCTCGTAATGCGGATAAAGCAGGCCAGCTTATGGGGTGCGGAGTGGACTGTCCTCATTTGGATGAGCATGTCCCTCATAGCTTCCAAGTATTTGAGTACATGGTCCCCATCTGTTGACACTGTTTGGGGAGGGTTGTAGAATGTTTGGGAGGTATGGCCACACTGGAGGAAGTACGTCACTGGGGGAGGGCGTTGGGAATCTTCGGCTTGCCTACTTCCAGTCTGGTTTACTCTGGTTCCTGTGCTTGAAGACATGAATGCTTGGCTTTCTGTTCTGGGCATCTCCTGCCTTGCCTCTCCCAACCCCCCATCATGGACTCTTAGCCCTTTGGAACCATAAGCCAAATAAACTCTTTCTTCTATAAGTTGCCTTGGCTATGGTGTTTTGTCACAGCAACAGAAAAAGAACTAAGAGGACCGGTAAGCTAAGTATTTAGTGCTGACATAGAACAGACCCAAACCAGTCACAAGAGATGTTTTAATAAGCTGATCAGGAACAGCCTGCTTCAACATAACCCGGTGTTTGTAACTGACCTGTGTCTGTACCTACATATCAGTCGGTTTCTTAATTCAGTCACTGTTAATGTCGCCCAGAGTCACGGCTCTACCTCACAGATAGTCCCTTCCAATGTTCAGATTTAAGTTTCCTTTTTAAATATATACTTTTATTGAATTTTTGTGCATTTCATACATCATCTTTATATCCCCTCCCCTATCCACATTCCTGATAGCTCCACCCCGCACCAGATTTCATGCATTCTATCATATATGTTAAAGCCTGTGGAATCAAGTTTCTGTACCCAGATGTCCCTCGGTGTAAGTTTATCCACTGGGGTCTAGCCAACTTATCTGGGGTCTGTCCTTTAAAGAAAATCAGATCTCCTCGCCCAGTAGTAACCAGCAATCTATTGTTCTTCAACTAAGTTTGGGACCTACCATCTTTTTCCCCAGTTCTATCCTGGGACATTGAGGTGGTGTTTCAGTGTCCTGGGATAACTGAACTTGGGGCTTATTGTGGTCAGCAACAGCCTGGCCGTGAGGGAGCGAAGGGTTACCCCGAGGCAGAAGCCGTTCAGCATTGCCTGTTCTAAACTGGCATCCACATTTTGCATCGGGGGCTTGTCGCTGCTGTGAGGAACACCGTCCTGCTGTGTGGCTAGGATGGCTCAGCGCAGCCACCACCCAGAGCAGCCCTGTCAGTTTGTTCATCTGTGTGTTGGTATCCTAAGTCCTAACCAGGATGTGCTGATTGTCCCTTGGTTGTTTCGCAGTCTGCTAAGCGGTTCAATTTGTTCCTGAAGCGACGTCTGATGGTGAAATGGTTCCGGTTTGGGATGCTTGTGCCTGGGTGTGCAGTGACAGCTTGGGGTGCTTCACATATCAGTACCATCCTTACTGGAGGCCTGATCACTGATTGCTTGTTCCCAATTGATGGTTAACCACGGTGCTTCCCAGTGTTTTCTAATCTGATTTTTTCCCTTTAATGTTTTTATATGCTCGTTGTCTCCAGAACTCATTTTTGTGGACATAGTCAACTTCTCTGAACAATATGAACATTTGTAAAAATAGCAATTAGTTTTCTTTAAAGGTCTACCACATAAAATATGGCTACCCTGCGAAGGACTGGCATTATTTTGCTGTCTGATTTTTGTCCCTTGGTTACACTTAGTCTAGTTATGCCTCTTTCACGGTCTTCCACACATTTCCTTATTTTTTTCCTTCCTTTTCTTTTTAAAACTGCTTTAGATCCAAGGTATAACATGATAACAGCTTAAGTTTTCTTATTTTTTTAAACATTCTTTTAGTATAGGAGAGATGGTTGTGGGTCTTTTTTTCTGGCTTACAACTCAAGCTTAGATTTAGTTACTGGATTTCGATACCTCGACTCCAGGCTCCCCGGATGCTTTTGTTTTTCTGTTCATTTTTCCCACTCTTCCTTCCCTGCATTGAGAGCCACTTCCTTCTGCATCACACCAGCTGTGAACTCATCAGTAAATAGAGTTTCCAGGTTCATAGACCAGACATGGGATTCCTGTCATACTTGTCCTTGACCGATCTGCACCTGTTCCTTTTTATGGGACTTTTTAAGGTGAGTGGGAGGCAGCAGAGGGGACCATAAAAGACATTTGGAAGCTAGCAGGTGTACCAGGTCTAGTTCCCATTTATGAGTTAGTGAGAGCAATCTGGAGACTGTCACACTAGACCCACTCTCTGTCTGTTTGCATGTATAAACATGCCACAAGGCAAGACCAAGTCAAACTGGTCTCCTTTCCCCCTGAAACTCAGTGTTTGTTTTCTGTCTCGAAAAATGAGGAATTAATTAATTGAACATGTAGACACTGACCCTGTAATTTTGATTATTAATGTATTGAGAAATTGACACAAATATAAACAAAAGATGAACAGAAGCTCACCTGTGGAACCAGTGAGTGATGAGACACTTGCGTCAAAACTCGTTCTTGGTGAGGCCAGTTGGCAAGTTGCCTGCTTCTAATTCTTAGGTGTACCTTGATTTCTGTTCCTCTCTTACCATCAACCACAAGTTTATGTTCTTACAGTGAGGCTCTGTGGGTTGGTATGTAATTAATTGTGTGATGGGAAAAGTGTCTAATAAATTATTTAATAGACTAATTGGTGTGTTTAATTAAAATCAGTATTTTTTTCTAAGTATGCATCTTAGGATAGATGTGTAAATATATTCACTCTACATTTTGCTGTAATTATAGCATTTCTGTGTGTGCACGAAACTAATGTGTTTAAGCATGCAATTAGTATGTGCCAATCCTGAGGCTTTGTCAGTCTTTAATCTTCTCTGTGGAATTTTGCTTTATAAAATAACTGTAATTTCTGCTGTTGACTGTCTTGATGTTTTAAGTGTGCAAAACATCAGGTGGTCACCAAATTACAGCTAACCTCTTTAATGTGTTTGCCTTTCGGAGATAAACAGTGATGTAAAATCACGTCACTTTGTCTTCTGCAGTTTCAAAGAAGTGAGCAAAGCAAAGATTCCGTCTACTTCAGAGACGGGGTCAGGCAGATCGACTTCGTGCTGTCCTACGTGGATGACGTGAAGAGAGACGCAGAGCTAAAGGCAGTAAGTGCTTATCTGAGAGAAACTGGAACCACAGGGGATGCAAATGCTGTCGTTCAATGGAGCCCCCCAACCCCGCCCCGCACTGAGCTGTCAGTTCTCTGAGATCTTAGAAGAACTGAGAACACCACAAAGCAGCCAGCCTGAGCTGTGAAAATTAGGCTTTTTTGAATATTTTGGAAATGATGACATCTTCCTCCTCTCCCTCCCCCTCCTCCTCTCCCTCTTCCCCCTCCTCCTCCTCCTCTCCCTCTTCCCCCTCCCTCCCTGTTGCTCTCCCTCACCCTCTTCCTGCCGCTGGCTATCTTCCTTCTTTTCTTGTTTTATCTATCTTTTAATTTATTTAATTGATTTATTTATTTACTTTCATTTTATATATGTGTATGACTGTGTTGCCTGCGTGTAGACCAGTGCACCCGTGTTGTGCAATGCCAGTTAAGATATACCAATAAACATTTGCTCACAACTCTTGAGAATTTGCTTGGTATAGGTTCTAATTTTACAAGGCACAGAGAGGACCTACCGACCACCCACCTACTGACTGGAGCAGCGGAACAACACTGCCATCTCCAGGTCTAAATTAGAAGAAGGAGGATACAATTGCTTCAATTCCACTTTAGGATACGTATGTTCTCCCTGTAGCCCCAAGCTAGCATGGAACTCCCTATGTATGTAGTTCAGCTTGGCCTCTCATCTCTGCCTCTGGAGTTCTGGGATTAAAAGTTTTGTTCCTCTTTCATCTCCTCCTCTTCCTCTTCCTCTTCCTCCTCTTTTGCTCCTCTTCCTCTTCCTTCTGCTTTACTGTAACTGACACACATTTCACTTCAGATCTCATGACCCCACAAATATGAGGTACATTTCTGAATCTAATATTTTGTTTTCTATATGTAGTTTTTATCTTTAAAAAAATATGATCAGTTTCAAATCTGATTTGAAATGGCCTTCCTAGTGTGCTCTGTTCCTGATCTGTGGCTGACCACCTTCCTCTTCCTTCTGCTTTACTGTAACTGACACACATTTCACTTCAGATCTCATGACCCCACAAATATGAGGTACATTTCTGAATCTAATATTTTGTTTTCTATATGTAGTTTTTATCTTTAAAAAAATATGATCAGTTTCAAATCTGATTTGAAATGGCCTTCCTAGTGTGCTCTGTTCCTGATCTGTGGCTGACCACTTTCTGAACTAATTTCTTTGTTGTGGTTCACTGCCTCTAACACGGTCAGGTAAGTTCATGAGGCCAAAGACCTTGTATTCACTTGCTACATCCCCATGTTCAGACGGCGATAAGGAAGAATGTCCGTTCAGCAATTGTTCACTGAAGCAAAGAGTCCATAAGTTATGTATAAGCGTTCATTCCTTACTTGTGTGCATAGGTACACAGATATTTATTTCCTTAAGTGTCACATAAATAGTGAATTTGAAGCCATAACTGTCATCCCAACCCTGTGCTTGATCACTTCTGTGTCCTTTTTCCTCAGAAACCATTCCACTGGGCCTCTGAAATTCACACAAAATGACGTGGCTACATCTCGTCTGAATGTTGCCCTCACACCCCACCTTCCCTAGTAGTTCTCCTTCCTTGGAGCGATGGTAAACGCTCGCTCTAACCTGCTGCATTTACTCTATTCTTCCTCTTCTATTCCAAACTTCCTGAGTCTTGGATCTCATCATGGCTAGTGCCCGGCCCTGTCATTTTTCTGGCCCCAGGTCCCTTCTGTTTCCCACCTGTGGCTTACTGTCAGGCTCTCCTCTGGTGCTCCCTGTGGTCACCCGTGATCTCAGTACATGCGTCCACTGTTATTTGGACACTCAGCATTTCTGGTCTTCAACTGCCTTCACCAGTGCTCTTGGCTTCCACTTTAACTTGACTACTGGCTCCCCTAAATCACAGCATTGCTAATACCTTCAACCCTTTCTGATTTATGCCATATGTCTATTTAACCCACCCCTCAAATCTTTCTGACACACACCCTTCTGTCACAGCAGTATCAGGAGATGCTGTTATCTTGCCATCCTTTTGCTGCTCTCCCTCCCTCCCTCTCCCTCCCCCTCTTCCTCTTTAACTTGACTACTGGCTCCCCTAAATCACAGCATTGCTAATACCTTCAACCCTTTCTGATTTATGCCATATGTCTATTTAACCCACCCCTCAAATCTTTCTGACACACACCCTTCTGTCACAGCAGTATCAGGAGATGCTGTTATCTTGCCATCCTTTTGCTGCTCTCCCTCCCTCCCTCTCCCTCCCCCTCTTCCTCCCTCCCTCCCCCTTTCACTATCCTTTACTGGATGCTTTTCCTCTGCATAATTATTGTGTTTCAGTATTCATCAAGCTTCACACTTCTTTTTATCTCTCAATAAAATGTCCATTTAATCAAGTGGCTCTCCCTCCCTTCCCCCTTCCCTCCCTTCCTTCCATCTATCTTTCCTTCTATCTGTAAACTTCTATTAGCATATGTTGGTTAAAGATAGTGTTAGATTAGGAGGGCAGAAAAAGGAAGGAGTTTAAAGTTTAGAAATAAGAGTCAGAGCCAGACCTGCCTCAGGTAAGGACGGTGTCCTTTATTCAAGGAGCTCAGCAAAGTCCCGTTAAACCCTTTGGAGGAATGAGGATCTCTGCAATGAAGGGCCGAGCAGTTGGCACTTATATAGGAACTCTGTTGAACGCTGCTGTGGGAATTGCTTGGTGCCAGGGTCCAGCGTTCTTGGGGTAACTGAGGGTCTTCATCCTAAGACTACTTTCTCAGGAAGTGCAGATGAGTTATCTAAGGCATTAAAGGACACAGGTTGGCTCTGTAAATGGTTTCTCTCAGTCTGGGCAGTGACAAGTTGGTAACGTCTGAGCAAAGGCCAGGCCACCAATTTAGGACCAGTTAGCTACTTTAAGGAATTTATGTCTTTATGTCTTCCTTTAATGAAGCTTATGGCTTTTCTGTGATTCACACATTTTATCAGACAGTGAGACCCTTCCGTGTGAAGCGCAGCCCTGTGACCACGTTCACGTCCTCTGCTCCTCCCTTTTACTCCCATTTCTCTTCCGCATCCCTGAAGCTCCCCCAGGTCCCCACGGCAGAGGAAACACACAGCACTTGTTCTCTAGGTCCATCTCGCTTGGCTTAGATCCCCAGTTCATCCACTTCCATACAGATAATACCATTCCATCCTTCGTGTGTGTGTGTGTGTGTGTGTGTGTGTGTGTGTGTGTGTGTGTGTGTGTATTCATTTTCTTTGTCCTCTCATCCATGATGGGCCCCTAGGCCGAATCCATATTTGGCTGCTGTGAAGAGAGCTGTGTAAACATCGTTCTGCAGGTGTCTTCGTAGTTCCTGATCTAACCTTCCTCTCTTTATCCAACTTAAACCCAGCAGTGAACAACTATGACCACTCTATTCTCCGTGTTGCCACGTCCCTCAGCCCTCTGTCTATTGTGCTTTCTTGAAAAACGAGTTACGTGAACGCAGCTCTTCCCCTACTACAGCAGATACCCATGCGGTCCCTCACCCCAGCCTCACCTCTCCTCCGTACCCACACCCTGAGCAGTCAGACCTCAGCTCCTGTGCTATTTGACTGGCTAACGTTCAGTGCAGTCAGCGGTGAGTCCATCCCTGTGTGCTCTTCCCTTGGCTTCCAGGACTCCGCATTCTCCTAGATGTTCTGTCCCCGCGGTAGCTGCTGCTTCTAGATGGTCCCTTCCATGGTATCTCTTACAGTGGCAGTGCTGTAGGGCTCAGTGCTCAGTCTATTGATTTCTTTGATGGCAGCATTTTATCTCAGTTTTAATCCAAAGTCTTCCTTTCAGGGCCAGAGTTTTCAGCAAAGGCCAGAACTCACCAGTCTCCTGTGTCTCTGTAGAAACCTCATCAGTTTCTGAAACTCAGCAGCTCCTCAGTTCCCTGAACTTCCCCCCAAAGCCATCTTTGAGTCTACCCCATCTGTAATTATTTATCATGACCTTTAATGATTATAAAAGATGTAGCTTGTGGCCGGAAAGATGGCATAGTGATTAAGAGCACTTGCTGCTCTTGCAGAGGACTCAAATTTGGCTACCAGTACCCACATCAGGCAGCTCACAACCACCTGTAACTCCAGCACCAGGGGACCAGCCATCTTCTGGCCTCTGAAGGCAATGCACTAACATACACAAACCCACATACAGACACACACATATATACATAATTTTTTCAAATGTGACTCATATGCTACAAATTACTTCTCGGCTCATGTCAGTTGGGAGTAAATAGTACGGAAACTGGATACCCCAAATCATTCACTGTTTCTTAAAAAATAACCCTCTAACAGCTGAAAATTTTTTCAGTCTGAAATTTGCATTCTATTTTTCACATACTTTCTAATGTAAATGATTTGTTTGCGAGTCTTTTATTCATTAAATAACTTTGCTATAAGAAACATAAGTATATTCATTAAAATAATTTTATCTTTAACCATATACTCTAAGCCTACAATTTTCTTTATATGTTGAATTAATGTTATAATTATATATATATTCATTACATGAGTACATAATTGATAAAAAATTAACATATTACAAAATATGACAAAAATGTTTTGAATATAATTAGTAAATGCATCATAAATGTATTGATTGGTGAAGTAGACTGACCTTAAATTATTTTCTGTGTTTAGTACATGAAAAAGATTATTCCAAGGATGAAGTGATTCAGATTCAATTACATTCTTTTTTATTTTTATATCCTAATGCAAAGGAAGGTGGTTGGGATGGGAACATTGAAAGACAAAGTGTCACTGCAACATTGTAGATTTTTTGGAATACCTGAGGTTTTTTTTAAACATTTTATTTTTATTTTACGTGTATGTGTGTATTGCCTGCATGTAAGTGAGTGCACCCGTGTCGTGCAATGTCCACGGAGGACAGAAGAGGCTGTTGGATCCCCTGGGACTGGAGTTACGGACAGTTGTTAGTTGCCATATGGGTGCTGGGATTCGAACCCCGGTCTTCTGCAAGAACAGTCAGTGTTCTTAACCACTGAGTCATCTCTCCAGCCCCGGAATATCCGAGTTTTATCCAAAAATTACAAAGTGGGGGCTGGTGAGAGCACTCAGTGTTTGAGAGCTGGTGCTCCTCTTGCAGAAGACCTGAATTTGATTCCCAGCACTCAGTCATTAGGCAACTCATAACCACCTGTAACTTTAGCTCCAGGGAATCTGATGCCCTTTTCTGGCCTCACATGCACAAACACACACAGATACACGTGTACATAATTAAAAATAAAAATAAATTAAAATATTTAAATTATGAAATGATCGGTGTTTAAAGTGATACTTGGTGACCTGGCCGCCAGGCACCCTCTCAGCTCTGCCACTAGGCCTTTTGAACTTTGAGAGAGTGGGATTTTGTTTTGTGGGGTTTTTTTTTGTTTTGTTTTGTTTTGTTTTTTACAAAGGGAACTGTTCTGCAATGAAGAAGAGAAAAGTCGTTCACTTTCTTAATACTGGAAGCAAAATTTTAAATTTCTATCCATTCCCACTGTTTTCTGATGTTTTAGAAACCTGCATTGTGTTTTAGAAACGTGGTTGTGGAAGGCGGCTCGAGAGGAAGGGTTGCCCAGTCACAGGCCTGCTCTCTTTAACACTGGAAGTGCACAGAAGGCTTATTAGAATGACTCCTTCTAAAGTTTGCCAGAGCTGCCAGGTGGATGTACCCATTTGAACATGAGTGACTTAGAAAAATCTACTGACACTTTTCAAAAGTTCAGTCATTCTGAAAATTTTTCCACTTAAATCACAACAAAGGCCAAAAGAATTCTTGCTGATCAATGCTTTATTTAAATCCTGCAGTAATTACTAGATCTGAAGTAAATTTTAACCTTCCTTTATCTAAGTAAAAGTAATCTTCAAAAGTCATAATGACATTTTGGCTTATGAGGACATTAAAATTATAATTGATTTGAAGAGTACTGATCTTTGTAGTATTGAGTCTTTCCCAGTAGGAAAAAGATCTATCTTTATGCTCATGGAGGAGTTCCACAGCCAATGCCAAGGGTCAGCCTGGCATTATCCACTAACACAGAGGGTCAGCCTGGCACTGTCTGCCAACACAGAGGGTCAGCCTGGCACTGCCCACCAACACAGAGGGTCGGCCTGGCGCTGCCCGCCAATGCAGCATTATCATTTTAATTTGTTTCTGCCACAGGAAAGAAGAAGAGAGTTTGAACTAAATCTCAGAAAAACAGGCCTTGAGTTGGAAATTGAAGACAAAATGGTAAATATCGTTAATAATTTAAGCAAGGATCTTATTTTCAGTGTGGTTTTCTCTTATTCTGGTCTTTGTCTGGGTAGATTTTGGATTTCGGGCAATATGTAACTCTTTTGGCTATGGACGCTTGTGTGGAGAATGGAGGGCCTGCACTCTCCGTCCAGTAGTCAGTGAAGAGATAAGACAGCCATCAGCATCTTTAAATGAAGACGAGCACAGGAGCTGGAGAGATGGCCCACTCGGTGAAGTGCATTCCACGCAAGTGTGAGGAGCCAAGTTGGATCCCCAGATCCACGCAAAAAGCTTGGTGTGGTGGCACAGACATAGTCTCAGCACTGGGGAGGCAGTAACAGGTGGATCCTGGTAGTGTTGGTGTCCAGCAAGGCTACTGTAAGCACTGAGCCCCAGGCCCCAGTGAGAGACCTTGTCTCAAGAACAAGGTGGCTGGGTCCTGATTGGATGATGCCAGTTCTGACACTTGGCACCCATACCCATGCACCACACGTGCACCAGTGCACACACCACACGTATGCAAACACAAGCATGTACACACAGGAATGTGCATGGTTTCTACTTAGGACATAGATAAGCATAGACTTGGTCTTTTTCTTTGATGGTCTTATTTCGAAGGCTGCACATTGCGCTGTGCAGTCCTTATCTGGCTGCCTCGCAGGATAGCCCGTTATTTAACCTAAGATCCTCTGGTGATGAATAGGTTTTTATTCATCAACTTTATTCAGTTTCATTGACTATTTTTCTAGATTTACTTTCAAAATTGTGCTTAAAGCATGACTCACGACGGTACTCGATCTGGGGTACTCTTCACATAATTTGATTTTAGTGTCTAATTCTTTTTGTCTTCCTTACTTTTTATTAGCTTTTGAGAATTTTGTACAATGTATTTTGATCATACTCGCTTGGCTTTCTACGACTCCTCTCAGACCCGCCCCTTGTTATCCACCCAACTTATTTTCTAATTCTTCCTTCCCATCTAATTTTAATGAACAATAAACATGTATAATATAACACAATCTATAACCTATTCCCTAGATAATGGACCATCATGTAGGCTCTTTACAGTAGGTGAGTAGGAAGACTGAATACCCTACAGCATATATATGTGACCTTATAGAAGAACCTAGGCAAAACTCTGAGCTCAGAGTTAGTCACTACCAACCAACAGAGTTCCTAGAATTATCCAGAGCTGAGGACACAGTGATGCTAAAGTGTGTTTTACATGATTCTGTCTCCATGTGTCTCTGATTCTCCTGGTGACACACATCTACACGCAGACATACAATGTATACATGTTTGTTCATGTTAGCATCCATGTATAAACACGGGCTATGTATGACCAAAGCTCATTGTTTGAAGCTCTCAAAGGATTGATAAAAATAATCTTAAAAAATAGTTGCCTGACTGAAACCACTGACCTGGTTTGAGATTTTGAGTTCTTTTCCCCGTTCCTAGTTTTCTTCCTCTTGACTCCTTCTCCCTCAGAACTCTGAAGACGGAAGAACTTACTTTGTGAAGATCCACGCCCCATGGGAGGTCCTGGTGACTTATGCCGAAGTGCTGGGGATCAAAATGCCCATCGGGGAGAGTGACATCACGCGGCCCCAGAACTTGCCCCTGAGTTACATGCTGGGGCCCGTGAAGCTGCCGGCCACCGTCAAGTACCCTCACCCCGAGTATTTCACCGCGCAGTTCACCAGGCACCGACAGGAGCTCTTCCTCATTGAAGACGAAGCCACCTTCTTCCCGTCCTCAGCAAGAAACAGAATTGTAGGTAGAGAAGACCTTGCGCCCCTCTCCAAGTATGGTGCGTGTGTGACTCTGTGCTTTTGTGTGGGTGTTCAGTGCCAAGGCCTCCGTGTGCCTGAGCAGAATGAAGCATTTGACGGCACTGGGAAGGTCTAGAAGCCTGTTTGGTCAACTGTGACATGTTAAACTCTCCATTTCCTGAGGTATTGTCTAAGAACAGACGATTGATATTGTAGACACAGTGGTGCAAGGGGCACAGTGGGGTCTTAGAACAGCACCTGACAGCCAGAGGACTCGGATTTTATAGCATCATTGTAAATTTATTTTTCTGATCTTACAGTTTTGTTTTATAATTTACGGTAAAGTAAGAGAATATTGATCATTTGAGTTGACTTTGAATATTTTAATTCCTTGGTCTATAGATAGACCTTGCAAAGCCTCAGAAACATTCTCCCCTGCCAAGCCGTCTTCAGTCTTCTGCATTAGATTCCCTCTTCATCTGTAGTCTTAGGACCTGTAAGTTGCTGCTGTTTCTCTGTGTTTAGACTGGGATCACATTTATTTCAGAGGTTTCATAAGCTGTGGAAGGCTTTGAGCCACAATACATTGGCATGTACAAGTGTTCAGCAAAGATTTACCATCATTACTGCTAGTCGTCTGGTGTCAGGAGAAAAGATTAGGGCTCCATGTTGGCCTCACGCTTTATATATTCTGTGTTTGTTTTTTAATTTAACTGCCTGGTTTTCAATTTAACCATCTGGTTTCTACCCACTAAAGACCCGTTTCCTTTGAGACCACACACTCTCCCTTCCTTTGGAGAACAGATGCCTAACCCCCCGCCCCCTTTTTGCCAAGCTCCTTAATAATATAGGTCCTAGAGTTTTAGTGTAAACATATGGATCCACACATAAGAGCATCTCTCCCCTTTCTCACCAGCATTAAATGATAAGTTAATTTTAAGGGACTGAAGAGACCATGCCCTTGCATCTGGTTTCAAGACCTGTTTCAAGCCATGACTGTTTTCTAACTATGACATTCTCTGGAAGCAGAGCTAATCATGTCCTATGCTGTAATGAAAATTCAGTAAAGTTCTCCTTCCATTACAAGGTTGCCTATAAAAGAGCACTGGCTGCTCTTGCGGAGGACCTGAATTCTGTTCGCAGCACCAACATGGCAGCTTGCAACCATCTATAACTCCAGTTGCAGGGGATCTGATGCCTTCTCCTGACCTCCATGGGCATTGCACACATGTGTTATGCAGACAAGACACTCATACACATAAAATAAGAATAAATCTTTCAACAAGAGTTTGTAGCTAAAAGCAGAGGGTGCAGTGTACTGGTACGGTAGTTGCCTATCGTGTACAAGCCCTAGGTTCGATTTCAGCCTGTCCCACCTCCCTCAACAAAACGTAATAAAGACTTGTGTACCCTAAGAGTGGATCAGGAGATGGTCAGCACAGAAACGCAGCTGTGCCTCTGCTTTATCCATTGATCCTCCTGGGTGTTTGTGAAGTGTTCCAGGATGTTGGCTTAGTCAGTGTTAAAGTACCGTCTCCCTCCTCTTGTAGAAGTGCTTGTTTGGTTTATTGAGGGAGTTATTTGGAAGGTTAATGTAGAACAAAGCCTCTCCTTCCCATCTCCATGTATGTACACACTGAACAGTATTACTGGGGCATTTTTCTAAGATAGAACCCAATCCTTTCAGGGTAGCATGTTGACCACCAAACCCTCTTAGCCTCACAATGTAAAGTTATATATACATACATGTGATACATATGTATTATATCAAATATATAGATTTCTGCATGATGTATATGTTCTTATACAGAATCACAGTAGGAAGAGGGCAAAGTTTTTAATATAAACCAAGCACCAAGGTTTAGCCAGCTCTGTGGGTAGAAAAGCTCACACCATCATGGGATTTAAAGTGAATGTCTGATTGTCTGATTAAGGGCATTTGGAGAGAGAGAGAGAGAGAGAGAGAGAGAGAGAGAGAGAGAGAGCCTTGCATCTGGGCTTGAGAGATGGCTCGGTGGTGAAGAGCACTAACTGCTCTTGCAGAGGATCCAGGTTTGATTCCCATCATCCACATGGGGCTTGAGAGATGGCTTGGTGGTGAACAGCACTAACTGCTCTTGCAGAGGATCCAGGTTTGATTCCCATCATCCACATGGCAGCTAACAACCATCCATAACTCCAGTTCCAAGGAATCTGATGCCCTCTTCTGACCTCTGTGGGCACTGCACAACATGGGTGCACTTCCATACATGCAGGCAATACACTCATACACATAAGAATAAAAATAGGAATAGAGATAAAGGAGCCTTGCATCAGTTTGATTATAAGGCTTTTTGACAAGAGCAGAGAGCTGCTTCTCAGCACACCAAAGTCAAAGCAACAGTTCCTGTCCCTCTGCGGTGGACACTTCCTGTTGCTGTAGTGTAGGCTGGAGTCCCCTTCTTGGATCTCCTGTGTAATTGTGGTGTTACTGTTGTAATTATCTGTGGCCATCACAAGTAGACCTGTGTACAGTGATGAATTTTCTGGGCGTAGTGGCTCTTACCTGAAATTCTAGGGCTTCAAAGGCTGAGGCAGAATTTTTATGGATTTGAGATCAGCCTGGGCTACACAGTGAGTTCCAGGCCAGCTTGGGCTATAGAATTAAGACCTGCCTCAAACACAAAAAATATGACAAAATTGATCCCTCCCAAAAGATGGAGAGATAGAGAATTCTAGATATGTTCTGACTGTTCCCTTGGCCGGTGTTAACCCTCCCCTAGCTCTCTGGCGCTCCTTAGGACCCCTCTCTCTGAGATAAAGTAACATGGAAATTGTCCCAGGTACATAATGTCACAGTGGCCTCTGTGTCAAGTCAAAGGAAGAGTCACACATCCGTCACTTTAAATCAAAAGTCAGAAATGGTTAAATTTAGTAAGAGGGATCCTAAGTGCTAAGCAAGGCAGAAACCTCTTGTGATCGTTGTCAAACTGTGGAAGCCACGGGAAATTCTTGAAGGAAACTCAGCTAGCCCAGGGGACAGAGATATGGTAAGATGGACTTTAAGCCTTGTTGCTGAAAGTTTTAGGGGTCTGGATAGAAGATCAAACCTTTACGAGAATGTTCCTGGCCATGTGTGGTGGTGCTGTGAGTTCATGGCCAGCCTGGTCTACATAGTGAGTTCCAGGCCAGCTGGGGTTACAGGGAGACCCTGTCTCAAAAAGACCAAAGAAAAAGATAACATTTGCTTACACCAAAACCTAATACAGAGTTAAGACTGTTCCCCCAATTCTGTGAAGCTAGAACAGTGTGAGAAAACTGCCGAGAAAAGCTTGAAGCCTGTGGAGACAGCTGCCTCTGTAACATGGTACTACAACGGAGACCAGGTCCCCGGAGAGGCTGCCAGAGACCTGGCTCAGGGAATCCAGGAAGGTGGCCACCCGATTAGCAGATTTTCATCGTAGATGGAGCAGCTTAATGTTGTAAGGTGTCATCTGGGACGTTGCCGGTGAGAGGGTGGAGACGCAGAGCCTGGCTTCAGATCCTCAAAGGATCAGGATGACTGTCGGGCTCGGGGCTCAGGCAGCTGGTGACTTTAAAAACGCACTTCTCAGGAAAAACAATTCCTTTCAAAACAATCCTGCTCGGTGACAATACAGCTGGTCTCCCTGGAGTTCAGAAGTATAAGATGACTTGTTTACTCCAAGCTAACACAGCTTCCATTGCTCAGCCCGTGGATCACCGAGTCTCGCATCCTATTATCTAGCAAGTACATTCATTCTGTCAGGCTCTATCAGACAGAGATAGCAATTCCTCTATTGAATCCAGACAAAGTAAATTGAAAATCTCTGGAAAGGACTCAGAGTCTTAGATACCATTACAATATTCATCATTTGCAGGAGGAGGTCAAAGATTAAAACTATGAGGCGCTCATAAGAAGTTGATTCCAGTAGTAATAGATGACTTAAAGGGTCAAGGATTTCAGGGGGAAAGACTGTGCAGATGCTGTGAACAGTAGGCGAGCCAGCATTAGAAGTGAAACCCAAAGGGAGGTCTGACTCTCTGCAGAGCCTGGTAACATTGCCAGAGTTTAGGGCAAAAGCCCCAGTCTTCACAGACTGAACTCAGCCAAGGGTCACAGTATGCTAAGTGGCAAATGGTAGAGAAGGGCATTTCATCAGAGGGGCCACCTTGGGAAGTTCAGATAAATGGGTGTGGTGAGCCTAAGCCCATCCTCAGGGAACTGACAGCTTTACTTTAAACAGAGGAGCTGGGACAGAGCAGGTGGTGGTGAAAGCCAGTACTCACTTCCACAGGGTGCTTAGAAGAGTTTATCGCTTGAGTGGGCGGTCCAGTTCCCATGAGATGATTGCTACTCGGGTACAGGGGATCTCAGCATGGGGTGTCGTGTCTGTGAGGCGCTGCTGTCCTTTCAGAGTCCCTGACAGAGCGGAACGCTCTCACAGCAAACAGTGAGGGGCCCCTGATTCTTCAGTCTTAAGCATGGCAAGGGGGTTGTGACAGGTTGTCACTGGTCTTTCAGATAAACAGTGCTTGACTGACTAATATGTAGCGTTAAAGCGAGTTAAAGAACAATCCAAAGCCTAGGAAATAGATACAAATGGGGGCCTCAAGATGCTGAGCTTGCTTTATTTCCCAGTGGGTCCAGTGCGGAGTCAGTGGTTTCTGGCAGATGCAGCCTAAGGGTGTCCCCTTACCACAAACCATGTTTCTGAGGCAGGAACTAGGTAAGTGCTTCCTTGGGACAAAAACTACGCCTGGGGGAAGATGCCGTGAGCAATTTCAAATAACAGCATAGAGTTCAGGAAATCAGTGAATTTAGCTGGTAAAGAA